CATCTTGAGAGCCCATAACGGTGATAAGACCGTCACTATTTCCTGCTCCGCGCGTGTCAACACTGACAATTGCATACCCGCGCGGACACCATGTCGCCGGATCGAGGCCCTCAAATTTCTCGAGACCGCTCAAGTCAGAGCGCGGCACGCAGCAGTTCCACACGCACATGGGGAGCATGTCGAGTGCACTATACTTTTTGCCGTAGAAGGACCAGCTCAGTACGGCAGGAATCTTCTCCGCAGAGCCAGCTGGTCGGTAAATGTCGACGTATAGCCTTGCGCCATCACGGACAACGATCTCGACGTCGTGGTCGATGCGAATATCGCTCTGTATGGGCTTGGCATTGAAGCCATTCCATCCTGCCGGTAGGACTTCTGATTTGCCTTTTCGGGGTCGTACGTAGCCGTTTTCACCCTCTTTCGGGGCTTTGATACGCTTGTAAGCGACTTGGACCGGAGGAGGCATATTCGATGTAGCACGTGATGTTAGTGTACTGCTTTGGAAGCTTTCACAGATTCTAGCAAATCAAATCATACTGCAATTTCTTCACATTTAAGTTGTCTATCCAGCATCATCTTCCCCGCCTTCCGGTGTCTATAATGCACATGTCTCGGGGCTTTAGTGACCGAAGCTCGGGCTGCCCCGAAGTCAGCACCTCCCCCGAAGCCAAGGGCGGGGTGCTCGGCGCTCCCCGCATTTCCTCCAGACTGATGAAGGCCCCGAGCTTCGGGGCAGGATGTTAGCCCTTCGGAGCTTGAGGCTGCTGGATGTTTAAGTGAATTTTGAACACCCACTTGAAGACTCGACGAGAAGACCGGTGTTCAATTCTAATCCATTGATCAAGTTGGGTATCGATTGAAGAAAGCACTATGTCAACAACCACTGTCATTCAGGAGATCGCCGAAGCGACCAACGAGTCCTACACAGTGAAGGACCTAATTGACTTCAGCGACCGTCACTACGGCGATTGGCGCGATGAGTTTCACAAAAACGGCTGCGTCGTTATCAAGAACGTGATTAGTCCCGAACGGGCGAAGTACTACTGCGACAAGCAGATCGAGTGGCTGAAGAGTTTTGACCTTGGATTCGACGAGAATGACGAGAGTACCTGGACTACTGATCATCTTCCTATCAGCTTCAAGGGAGGGTAAGTTCCCTTGTTCCCGAGGGCTGACTACTACTAACAGAAGATCAGCATGTACTATGGCTACGCAGCACCCCATGAAAAGATAGCCTGGGAAGCTCGCACAGAGCCAGCCGTCATTGAGATCTTTGAGAAGCTCTGGGAGACCAAGGAGCTTCTTAGCTCTTTCGACGGCATGAACATCTCGCTCCCACGTCGGAAGGATGTCAACTGGAGTCCCTGGCCACACTGCGATCAGAACCCCAACCGGAAGGGGTAAGTCACCGAAGTGCTTAGACTAGACAGAAGGATACTAATGTTGCTATAGCATGCAAGCAGTGCAGGGCCTTGTCAATTTTGCCCCCAACGGCCCCAAAGACGGTGGCCTCATGCTCATGAAGGGCTCTGCCAAACTCTTCGATGAGTTCTTCGCTCAGGACCGTGATCCCTATGACCACGAGGATGCTCCCCCACCGGAGATCAAGTACATGGACCTGTTCCTTTTCCACCAAAGGGACCTCAAGTGGTTCGAGGACCGCGGTTGCGAACTCATCAAGGTTAATATGGACCCCGGTGACTTGGTCCTCTGGGATTCTCGGACCATGCACTATGCTTGTCTGCCCGAAGGTGACCAAATCCGCCACGTCCAGTATGTCTGCATGACGCCCAGGCGATTTGCGACCGAAAAGGCCTTGGAGCTGAAGAAATACTGTTTTGAAAATTACATGGGTACTACCCACTGGCCTCACTGGTATGTAATCCTTCGCTGCCTGTATTGATGTACATGCTAATTTTCGCAGCAATATCCGCCCGTCTACCGACAAGCCGATGAGGAATGGAAAGGTGTGCCCTAAGGATCGTACGGAGCCTTATGAGAAGCCCGAATTGACCGATACGGTCCTCAAGCTCGCGGGTGTCAAGGATTACTAGGTAGTTTTGCGTATTTGTATACAGACTGTCAGATAATTGTTCAATATTACATACTTTATTCTCCATACTGCTGCTTTGTAGCCTGTACACTGTTCAAGTAACCTAAGTTATCAGATACACGAGTACAGATGCTAGTTCCTACATCAACTTAGACTTGCCAGACTTGACTCGTTACATTGATATTAGCTTTTGCCCCTGCTAGTTGACTTAACCCCGCCGAAGTATCTTCCATACTAGCTTTCGGAGCACTAGACCTCGGCGAGGCCCCGAGCCAGCTCTTCCCCGAGGCCATTGGTGGCGACTTGGCTATCGGAATGCGGGGAAGATTTGGTGGCTTCGAAGCTATACTCGTCACAGTCAAGGTTCGGCACGGTTATGGTGGTGGTCCAGCGAGACAATCTGCCTTTCTTGTGTCTGCCATCAGTCACACGGGTACTAACTGATACTATGGCGAATATATTTATACGATCAGCTGGGCCATGACCCGTACTACCACCGCTCACACCCATTGCGGGTAAACAGGACCTACGCACCAACATTCCTCCCGTCTTCCACAATGGATGACACCACAAAGAAAGACGTGGTCTACGTGGAAGACATCGAGGAGGGAGGGATTATGAGGGCTAAGGGGAAGGTGATGGGCACTGTGAAGATCACGGAGGGAACGGTGGTGTATATACCTACTCCCACCGCTGACCCGCAAGGCGAGTACATCTGCTATTCAAAAGATATGGAAGAATAACAATGAACAGATCCTCTGAATATGTCTGTTTGGCAGAAGTCCATTATACTTATCGTCATCTCTATGTGTATGTGGTGGATCACCCCGGATTTGATTTTCTTGGCCATCCTGATCGTTTGCAGTCTCATGTTTGGGTCTGGCTTTGGTCAGTGGGTTCGGAGGACTACTGCAATTCTACATTCCAGGATATACAGCCGTAGGAAAGGACTATGATGACATTTCAAACTTGATGACATACCCGACGTTGTTCATGTGAGTTATGAAGTACCACATCGAGGGCAGAGCTGATTTCGAACCAGGGGCATCGGGAACCTCATCGGTATGCCAATAGCGATCGGTGTGGGAAGGAGAATCGTCCTCCTAGTCTCGACTGTCGTGCTCGTCCTTGGATCAGTACTATGCGCAACTGCGAAGACATACGAATGGCATCTGGGTGCTCGAATGGTGCTTGGCTTAGCAGCCGGACAGAGCGAGGCATTGATTCCAATGATTACCCAGGTAGGTGATCCACGCAACCATTCTAGACCAACGTCCTGACTTGCTTCCCCCAGGAGATCTTCTTCCTCCATGAGCGCAGCAAGGCCCTCATGGTACAACTAGCTATCCAAGTTTCCTTAACATCTGTATGGACACTATTCGCAGGCCCAATCGCCCAGTCCATCACACCAGAGGGGTGGTACGGTCTTGGAGCCGGCCTTGCTGGAGCGCTGCTCTTAGTTGCTCTTGTCCTCCTACCAGAGACGAAATACAACCGCCCTCTCACATCCTACCAGGAAACCAACTCCGACCCAACAAGCACCTCTCCTGACCTCAAAAAGGACCTAGGAGCCGAGGTATGCACGGTCCGCCCCGCCTTAGACTTCGAGAGATACGCACGGCGCACATGGACATCCGACATGCGACTCTGGGTCGGGACGCCCCAGTGGACAGAAACCTGGGACGTGCTAAGAGTAAGTACATGTGCAAAGAGAACTGTCTCTGCATTTCTCTAACAGCAGCCAGCAAACCTTCGAACTCCTCTTCTTCCCAAACGTCCTCTGGGCACTGCTTCTCAACGGCCTCACAATCGGCGTCAACGTCGCCATCGGCACCACATACAGCACCATCCTCGCCAACCCACCCTACAACTGGCCCGACAGCAGCGCAAGCTACATCAACTGCGGCCAGATCATCGTCGCCATCGTTGCCCTGCCCCTCCTCGGCCACGGCTCTGACTACCTAGTGAAGTACTTTGCCAAACGCAACAACGGTATCCACGAGCCCGAAATCCGCATCATCCCTCTCATCTTCCCCATCATAGTCGGCACCTTCACGGCAGCACTATATGGCCAAGGTGGCGCCCACCCTTACCAATACCACTGGTTCATATATGCCTGGACGGTAGCAGCGTACTACTTTTGCTTCGTTGGGGCGAATATCGTTGGCATTACATACCTGCTTGATAGTTATCCGGGGAGGTCGGGGCCGTTGTTGGTTATCATTTGCGCCTTTCGGGGGTTCATCTCCTTCGGAACGAGTTATGCTGTGTCGCCGTTCATTGAGCTTCATGGGTATGATGGCGCTTTTGGGACTTATGCGGCCTTGACGGCGGCGTTTGGACTGTTGGGGATTCCAGTGTTTATCTGGGGGAAGCAGATTCGGAGGTTTACAGGGCGGTTTGCGAAGAACAAGGCGGATTAATTGGAGGTGGATGTGCTTGTGTGGTTCACACCTATGTGGGATATTCTGATTGAGCTGTTGTTTATTTGTGGTCATCCCCGGGGCAGGAGAATAGTGAAATTGGAAGTATGAGTTCGGTGGCAATGCATGGATGTTTGAGCTGTGGATTGATATGTAGCTGGCTGTAGACTCCCGAAGAACAACAATCCCTTGGAGGATTAAACTATTAGTAAAGGGGGGGGGGTGGTGTCCATGAGATACATGTCTACAACACTTGGTAATCAAGAGTAACTAAGTATTAGTGCTAAGGTATCGAGTGAAAGTACTCCGCAGCACATGACCTGATCGCCCAAATCTCGTGCCCAACTTTGGTCTCTCCACCTTTCTGACGAACCTGATCGAAGGATCAAAACTGTTTCCAGTCTCCCTATCACTTTCACCCTGCACATCCAGCAAGCTACTTATGATTGATCCATACCACCAGGTCACACGGGTTACGAGATCCCCATAAATGGTCGAAATCGAAACGACGTGTCGTACGCTCAGGTTGAAGCGCGTCGTGGGGAGCCTTTGGTCGGGCATCTCGCCAGACTGTCGGGCGGGAATATTTCTCCATCTTATTACAGCATAGAGTACTGTCCCTCAGCCACTTCCCCACTGCATTGCGCTAACTGTGGGCTGATTCAGGCTCTTGTTGTACCGATCCGCAAGATCCTCGCAAACACCCCAGATGCGTCTCCGGTTGGCGACACCAATTAGCTTCACGTCGTCCATGCCGTACCGAGGAGCAGTCATCTTTTCGAGCCACATGTACATCCTCTTATAATTGAGATCCGCCGGGACCTTCTGGTTCTTTGCTGCCTGAAGCTCCCAGAACCATGGCATGTTCTGCTGCATATACTGCTTCCAGAATAGATTATCCTGGGTGACGAGGTGAATGTGCAAGGAGGCTTCAGTCAGTGCCTTTAGCGAATCGCTAGGCAAGAATTTGCAGATCTGATAAACGATCTCAAGGGGCAGTTTGCCGAATGGGCTGACGGGCTTCCGGTCGCGGAGATCCAGCTCCACAAACGGGGTCTTCAAGCCGCTGTTCGTCTCCATGTTGCTTTGGAGGTGTTCATCGAGTCCGGGTGTTTCCACCGGGTGGGCGGCACAGTACTGCTCCGATTGTTAACATGGTTTAGACGCAGCTCGGTGACGATATGCTTGCCTCTGCGCCCGGGATACATTCCCAGTAGCGGCCTTGCGAGCGCTGGATGTCGTCTCCGTAGCTCAATTGCAGGGCGGACCCGGACATGTTGCACAACGGCGTCATGATATTGTACAACACGTCCAGATTGACGTTTTTAGTGTCAGTCGTACCCGTCAGTGCGCGAGTTAAGATCTCAAAACAGCACCAGTGGAACGGTAAGACGGGACCGGGCGCTTCCTCCGAGCCATGGCCATAGCTTTGAACGGTCAGAATGGGGTCAACAAGACGGGCCTACGAAGTGGGTTTGTCACACCATGAATAAACGCGCTGAGAACGCGACCGAGAACCATCTGCAGGAAGGTTAATAACGTGTACCGAAGCACATTCGCTCAATCAGCATACCAGATTTGGCCTTGACGACAAACTCGCCCTAATACGTAGTTAGCTTTGATCGCATGGATTCGCACTCAGTGAGCGCCTACAATATCGGCATAGTATCCTTCATCCGAGAGAAACGCTCTAAAAGATTGTTAAACGGGTCCCTCCGACCGCGCAAATTGCAGCAGCACCTACTTTGGCGAACCCGGTTTAGCGTTTTCATCCACCCCCAGGCAGTGTGCCTTATACAACCAGGAGATATTGTCCCAGCCAACAATGCGGGGATCGTAGCTGCGGACGGGCTCCTCATTTTCCTCTCCCTCGTGGGACACCTGCCTGAAGTCTTTACCGGCCTGCAGCGCCCGGCATCGCTTTTCGATCCACCGCCTGCGGCGCTCGAGGGCTGTCTCAGACGGGGCCTCGATGTGCATGCCACAGAAACCAACACCGCAGATTGCGCAGTAGCAATCGAAAGCCATGGTGGTGAGGGGGAAATCAGTATCCTGAATTGGAACTGAGGTGAAAGAGTGGAATGGTATGGCTATTCTGGCGAGCTGATGGGGATAAAAAAGGATCGCCCCCCAAGGCGTGCCAGAATAAATACCGAAAGCGAAGGGGGTGTGGGAGGGCCCACCGCGATGGATGGAGTGGAACGCCGGAAGCAATCCATTCAGGGGGCGAGCATCAACTCTTCGCCCGCACACTAAAGGATTGGGGAAAACTCTTCGCGGCGATCAGGCGACCTAAAAATATGACACCGACATTTTACCAGCGACCAACTTGATAGACGCCATGTCATGGCCTCGCTGAGTTGGCAGGGAAGATCTCCTGAGGTCTTTTTTGTTACAGTTGATAGAGCTGTCTTGGTACTACATTTTAAGCCTTAGGGTGGGTAGGGAACTGGGGGCAATCGCAACTTGCCTGAATGATAGCAAGCCACGCTCACCCCCAGAAGATGTACGACAGACTTTACTAGAAAAAGTTAACCTTAAAATCCTAGCCTGAGGCTGTCGCCAACTCGAAAAGGCGGTGTTTCTTCCCTCCATTTCAATCGAGCTGGAAAGCCAAGCGCCGATCTCCGGAATTGGGGTTACCGCATGTATCCCTTGCCCTGTGTGGCATGACTGCTGCTGCTCTTGCTAGTTGCTACTGCTGCTGATGTGGCAGGAAGGGACAACAACGACATTGTCAACTACGGGATGACCTGATCGGGCGAATTCAGGAACACGAGGCAAATTTTTTTTCTTTTTCCCTGGGCCACGCCTTGCCCGGGCCGATGAAATGGAATGGATGGAATTGTTGGTTCAGGAACGATTTCTGATTGTGGCACAACCCCGTGACCAAACCTTGCCACTGGCTAACTAATCAACTAAACTGCTATCACATTGGTCCAGCCGGGCCCAGAAGCCCGCCTCCCCCTTCTTCGCCTTCTTCGCCTTCTCCTCGGCTGTCGGATCTGGGCCGGATTCCCGTCCAACTGCTGACTGCACTGCACAATTGCTGGCTGGACCGCAATAATACCCTGTTTTATGATCCGTGATCGTGTTGTGCTCTGCACGGATCGAAGCTTTTCGAAGCTCCAGCTTCGTAGTTAAGTTGGCAGGTCACAAGACCTTGTCTAGCTTAGCTATATTTATCTACGTTAATTTCGGACCCGCCACGTTTTGCTACAGTCACGCGGACAGATGTAGTGGTGTTTTTGCCTTAGACAAGGCTTTGCTATCGCATTGTAGCCTGTTCCCTGCTCTTCTCGGTCCTTCTAGCTACTTTCAAGTGCCTAACCTTTCGTACAATGTTCTATAGCTCGGGTCTGGCGGCAAGGCAGGGAACACAGGAAACCTGGTGGGTAGTGAGCGCCACCTAAGTTCTACTGTACCTACATAGGATAACTAACCACTTGCGGGGGCGCGGCATTTCGCCCGCCTTAGTGCTCGGCAGTTAGCTACTTCAACAACAACAACTTGCACGTATTCACCATCAACAGAAGACGCTCCGGGCACAACCAAATGACACTCCCTTATCCCCCCCGAATGGCTCGTCTGCCTTTGAACGGGCTGATCTCCGAAGATAGCATGCATTTCTGGAAGGTTCGGACTGACAAGCTCTGGCTCAACAGGCTTCATCAGGTCAGATTTGACTAGTAATGATCTTGATTCCACGGTCACAGAGCACATTGTGCTTTCCAGAATCAATGTCTATAAATGAAAGTTCTGGGCAAACCTCAATGGCTCTGTACCTTTCGAAATCGATATAAAGGTTTGTACTAGCGGGAAGTGTACTCCACCACGAGGATAGGCGTTTGCCTTGGACTTTAGAATTATCAAAGATGTATCCCTTCGGGGGCTGGGAAGAATAATGAGTTTAGCCATAGCTCAATATATAATCGGTGGCCCTGACGTCTTCTGCTTTCGAGTTTAACATGGACAAATGTTTCTTGAGCATAACTATGTAATCACACTCTCGGGCTGCTTCCCCTGATATACTGGCTGCCAGCTCCGAGTTGGCGCCTGCATTCGCCCATTGATGGTCGTTTATCCTGCCAACCAGTTCAAAAGCGATTGCCATCGGCCCTTTTTAAATCCTAGGGCTCAGAGGTAAGCAGGCTAGCCTCGCGGCGTCTCAAAGTAGCCTTCAATTGCGACTGGGAATTACTTCGAAGCTTGTGATAAACCTGGTGATCAGCTTCTGGTCGAGAGCGACAAGCTTAGGATGAGGATGGCGCTTTGGATCATCCCTTATGTACGGAATGATGCACAATATTACTCCTGAGACTGTAATATAGTACCTCGTCCTCATTATCACATTCTCATGGGTAATATTCGTTGGCCCATCAGTGTTCGCCACCACACACGCGTCTTCGCAGCTGAAGGCTATCTCTCGCCGCGAAAGGCTGCGAAATGTATGTTTTGACTGGGGATGCTAAGCTTTTCAAGGAATCTGTTTTAGAGGGTTTTCTTCAAAGTTATCATGATAGAGATGATGTGAGGAAAGTATAATTCCTTTCTTTCTTGATACAACGCGATATATATATTTATATATCCATTACTAGTATGTCTAAGGTCACTAAATACCTGCCTGTTTGGGATATTAAGTAGAGAGTTGGGAGATGTAGGATAGATATAAGTGAAGGATGGTGGGTTTTATATATTAAATGGCAGAGTTGATATTTCCTCTCGAAGGTTGATATCAGTCACAACTTCGGGAGACTAGCCAATGACCAGTGACTGAGATATGATTCACCTTCAAAGTTGCTCATATCATCTAATCTGCGTGTTCATGTAGAAACGAATACTTTTTACCGCATTATCTAGTTATGATCTTTCTGGTAATAAGCCCGATATCCGAACCCCCACCCCAAAACAGATCTTGAAATTCTAGCATTATTCTATACCTTGTCTGCAAATATCCATGTTTGGACTCTTTGCCAACCGTGTTTCGTCGTCCTTCTGCTCATCTTCGTCTCACCCATCTCTGTTCAATTTAACTTTCCCAGATAGCCTACTCTCATTTCCTGGCCTCGTGAGTAGACTGTTATATATGTTTGGGGGTAATACCAGCGCCTCGGTTATGGAAATTCCCACCAAACATCATACACAATGCGATGATGTCATACATGCAGATTCCCATGTCCGATGACTAGATTTAAATGGCCCAGCCATTCATGAAGGGTGGACGGGGCGATGGCTTGCAGGTGGAATGCGGGGTTGCGGTTCAGTCGGATGTGGCATCATTGTAATACCTTGCTGGAGAGCCTCCGGAAAAAGAATTGGAGAGATAATATCTCAAGTGGGATGAGGAGAAGCATTTGCGGGGAAGTGTGTCTGACGCATTCGATGCAGTGATGATGCCTCCCTACGAAAATAACAAAACTTATACTGTGTGGATGTGTAGATTGGCGCTTCAGCATTTAGGGCTGGAGACGAAAGCATCATGTAGACTGGTCCCCATTGGGGTCACTGTTTCGGACAACTTTGTGTCCCTGGCAAGACGAAAATGATTCTCTACAGTAATCTTGCCTCTTTAGTAGTGATGGCATCTATCACTAAAGCAATATTATGAACTGTCATAGTGGAAGAAACCTCCAAGGTCCCTAATTGGAGACGTGTGAAACAAATTCCCGGTCGTGTCGCCTTTCTACACGTGTCCGACCGACCCAAAATGACGGGACATTCAGAAATATTCTAAATTAGTCTCATTACATCATGCATCCTGTCCCGTCCATAACCATCGCGCAGAACGGCCAAGAGTTGACGGAAGGCTTGTTTTTGTGCTGCCTACCACTTGCAGATCCGTGGACATTTCAAACTTTTATTTGCTTTTTCCAATTCCATTTTTATCTTTTGACTACAGTGTTAATTGTCAGGGCTAGGATCTAGTGGTTAGCAAAAGAAGCAAGCAATGTCGATATCGTGGTGCCTTCCACTGCCTACGTTGTGAGTGTGCCTTGCAACAGCCACAGTATCTTTCTATCCCCATTCATCCCCTCATGGTGCCCCTCCCCCTCATGCGGACCAAAGACCGCCTGAGCACCTTGTTACGGGCCTCCTTCCGTGGTCATCTGCAAGATCTTCATAGCCACCGTTTCCAAGCCTATGCCCCGCTCCCGCACGTTGGGTTGATGCATACACACGCTGTTCCAGGCAACGGCATGATGTTAATATAGTGGGCTAAAGTGCGGGCAGTTCTGCACATGAAGGACCTTGATGAAAGTCAAAATGACTTTATCCGGGAGTCTCATTTATAATTGGCCTTGTGGCGTAACAGGCTGTTGTCAATTACACAATCAATATTGACAAGCGAAATGCTTTTGCGAACTTCCTTCTTTGCTATCTTAGTCCCAGCCCTGGCGGAGCAGAAACGCTCTCCCGATGTCATCAGTAGCCTCGATGCGGACTGTCTTTGTCCGATATACACCGCTCTATCACAATACACATTTGCTAGTGGCCCTGCCGAAGGCAGTTACAATCACTCAATATCAGTGACAACCTTCTTTGCTGAGGAAAGCTATATAGAGACAACAACAAACTTTGAGGGCATCTGCAACAAAACGGTGGAAGTTGCTTCCATGTATGCGAGTGCAAGAGCGAGATGTGATGGAAGTAGTCCAGCGGCTACCATTTCGTTCTGGCAGGAATTGTGCGATGTCAATCTTTCATCTATCGATCCCAATGGATCAAGATCGTACGACTCAATTCCAATTCTTGATCCGGATGTCAATACGACTGCCTCTACTGGAATCATCAAATCACCTGTCCTGTTGAGTGAGTCATATTACAAGCGGGCGTACAAAACATGCGTATGTACATTCTATCCTCAGTAAACGCAAAGACGCCTAATTTATGCCCCAGGTCATTCATGAAAAAGCACTGGGCCAGGATATCCGGTTTGGCTGGGCGTTAATGGGTTACTGGGGAGCTATCCTGGGTCTCGGGACAGTGCAGAAAATCCTAAGCTTCTGGACGATTAGGCGGACTATAGACCCACGCAGGGATACTGAAGCCAATGCAAACTCTGGACCTATCGAACACAAGCAGATCTCTCGTCCCTTATCGTCAACCATCCATGCTCTGCGTACCCATATTGTTGTTCCAGCAAGCTTCACACCAAAATTGCCTCATCACCAGCGACTTCTTTACGGACATTGTATTCCCAAGCGACTTGATTTAATAATCGTTTTCGGGTTCTGGCTCCTCTGTGTCCTCTTAGCCTGTGTCAACTACAATGGAGATACTCGGTAAGCATCTCATATCTTCCTATGTCCAACGCTAACAGCACTAGGACGTCGACCATGCCCCAGCGCAACTGGCATTACTCATCCGATAGAACGGGTATTCTTGCCTATGCTTGTCTACCGTTCTTATGGCTCTTTAGCGGACGCAACAACATCTTCCTCTGGGTAACCAACTTTGACATTCAATCCTTCAACACATTCCATCGGCATATTGCATGGGCCTGCACACTCCTTGCCATTGTTCACTCGATTGGGTACAGCCTAATTTTAGCAGACTATGGTAAGTCTTTCGTCCTCACTTCAAGTCCACTATTAACAATTCAGAGGACGCATATCACGAAGCGTGGAGCCATAAACCGTGGTACATGGGCGTAATTGTAAGTCTGTTTGCATCCTCTGCTGACCTATGCTAACATCTTCAGGCGGTTGTTGCCATGTCAGTTTTGTTAATCCACTCCATCACGTGGCTACGACGCAAGTGGTACGAGATATTCCTGATTTCCCATATCGTACTGGCCATCGTCATAATCTATGCTCTATTCCAGTAAGTCGGTTCCTTCACTTCTTCACTTCCCTACTAACCCACCAGACATACCCGCCCCGACGGACCGCAGTGGAACCCATACCTCTGGACTGTAGTAGCTATATGGACCTTCGATCGCATCCTCCGCATACTTCGCCTCGCATACTGCAACCTCCACATAAAATCCAGCGAAAGCAAAATCTCCCTGCCATCATCAACGGTTACATACGCTCCCGACAGCGACCTAATGACGATAAAAATAGAGGCACCCTCCCATCTCACACCCAAGGCAGGCCAACACTACTTCCTCTCCCAGCCACTGAGCGTGCATTGTTTTGAAAACCATCCTTTTGCACTGGGTGCATATTCCGAAGCACCATCGCATTCACCGAAGGAGGAAAGCAAATTGACCTTCTACGTCCGTCCTTACAATGGTTGGACAAAATCGCTTCGTGATCGCTGCATCAAAGCAAATAATAGCATACACCCACTCCTCCTCCTAGAAGGACCCTATGGCCACACGGCACCGCTGCATACCTTTGACACGGTGTTGTTAATTGCCGGGGGGACAGGCATCGCAGCTACGCTGCCATATATACTCGACTATGCCGCCAGGTTGAGAAGACAAACTACGAAGACGACCAGTATACATCTATTATGGTCTGCTCGTCAGAAGACTATGTTCTCCACTGTATTCGAAGAAGAGCTGAGCCACGTTTTAGAGTGTGAGGGGGTTCAAGTCAGCTTTTTCTGTACTGGAAGTGCTCCAGTGTCGCTAATTGAGAGCGACAAAGAGGTCGCTGTTAGGCCTGTAACTAATGCAGTAGGGTCAAATATGTGCTACTACGACGGCCGTCCTGATATTCGTGGAGCCGTTGGGACAGGGGCTGAAATGGCTCATGAGTGCAGCACGAGGCTGGCGGTGCTTTGCTCTGGACCTGGAATGATGGCAGATGAGTGTCGGTTAGCGGTGTATGAGGCGATGAGAAGGGGGTGTCAGGGTATACGGTACTTCGAGGAGGCATTTACTTGGTAAATGTTTCTGCTTTGTTCAGTAAAACAATAGTTTGGATATCACGACGCCCTCCATGCTCGCGGACGAATGACAGACAAAATATTTTTCGTGTATCTTTTGCGATATAACGAACACTCCGTTACTGCTTATGAGGCACAGGATTTCCAGAGAAGTGCTTGCTGTATTTAAAACTACTGTAGAGTACAGAATTCTTTCCCATTCTCCCTGCAACCAACTGTATCTTCTACACCATGTTCACCAAACCTCCGACTCTGCCAACCACTGTAACATCAACTCCCTCCTCTCCACCCCATCCGTCAACCTACCCTTTTCAAACTCATCCCCAAATACATCGTCTCCTTCTCCTCCCCACTAGGCTCCCATCTCACCAACCCCTCCCCATTCGAATCCCCGTACTTGATGAAATTCGACCAATACGCCACCATCACCCTCTCAATCTCAAAGTCACGCTCCGTCCACGGCATATCCGGATAGTTATACGGCAAATACCCAAAGACATAATACATCTCACTCCCATGGAACGCACCCAGACTCTGTCCCGGCGGCGCATGGTCCCAGGAATACGTGTACACGGGGGCTGTAGCGCCGCCAGCGTACCAATCTAGGGCCCAGGACCAGGTACTTACTCTGCCGAGGTCTGCCCAGAAGGCGTTATTGGCTGGGGTGGTTGATTCTGTGTCGTTGGCTGGGTATAGGAGAAGAATTCTTCGGCGAGATGGGGAAAGGGAGCAAACATGATGGGAAAGTTGGAGCGGAAGGTGGAGAATCCTGGGTCTGTAGCGGCGCCAGACTCGTCTTTGTTGTTGCCGGTGAGGATGGGGATGTTGGGGTGGGTGTTGTCTGAGAGGGTGGAGGCGTAGGTGTGTGGGAGGACGTAGCCGTCCAGGACGAGGCGCCATTCTGGAGCTTCCATGAAAGTGCTGACGTTTTAGTAGTTTGTGTTGTCGAAGATGGTGGCGTTGAGGAGGTCGGTGGTTAACAGGGGGTTGAGACGGAGAGAGCACGCATTTCGGAGAGGGTTGATGCGTTGAGTGAGGTCATCACGGAGAGGCCAGAGGATTCGGCTTCGTCTTTCTGACGGTAGCTTGTTGCCAGACTGCCTGTTAGGGGGTCTCGAGGAGATCGCGAGCAGCTTTCGGCGATGATTCCTGATGCTAGACCGTTGGCAAGAGGGGAGTACATCATGTCGAGGGAGCAGGACGAGCCAGAGGATTGGCCGCCCACGGTAACGCGAGCGGGATCGCCGCCGAACGAGGCAATGTTGGCTTGCACCCATTCCAGGGCGGCGATGATGTCGAGGATGCCGTAGTTGCCGAAGCTGTTGTGAGGGGATTCGGCGGAGAGGAGAGGGTGGGCGAGGAAGCCGAGAGGGCCGAGGCGGAAGTTGAAGGTGATGGTTATAATGTCTTGCGAGGCAAGGCCGCTGCCGTCGTAGGTTACAACGTCGCCGGAGCCGTCAATGACGCGGCCGCTGTAGGCCCAGATATAGACGGGGAGTGGGGTGGAAGGTGTCGTAGTAGGGGTCCAGATGTTCATGTAGAGACAGTCTTCACTTTGGTCGGCTGGGCCGGTCGTCCATAGGCCGGTGCCCATGTTTAGGGCCTGGGGGCATTGGGCGCTGAACTCTGTTGCGTTGTATGTGCCGCTCCATGGCTCGGGCTTGACCGGGGGCTTCCAGCGGAGTTCGCCTGTGGGAGGTGCCGCATAGGGAATGCCTTTGAAGAATTTGATGTTGGGCCGGTAGGGGGATGTTGTGCTCAAGATGTCACCATAGTTTCTGTGGACAATGGGGAAGGTGGAGGCATTGTTAATGGGAGAAGATGCCGCTACTGCAACGGGGAGGAAGAGAATGAGAAGCATGAGGTGGCTGGGCCACTGAGGCCGATTCTATGCTTAGTACTAGTAATATGTTTGAGAATGAGGGTTTTGGAATGAGAGCTGTGCAGGTTTATATGTCTACGACGGGCGTATTAGTTACAACTCCACGAATATCTGCTTTCTTCAATTCTCATACCCCGCATAATCCCCACATCTAATCCCTTCTCCACAGAATGCAGTGAGTAGTAGGCCCGAATATGTTTGTTTATTGTGCTGGTATTGTGCCGAAACGAGATGCAGTAGCCGGGGTACGATGAGCACAGACGGCCAATATTGCAGATCATGTCCTCGGCAATTGGGCCGTTCTGGCACTGCGGTCATTCTGCACATCCTTGGGTCCTTACTGTAGTAAAAACACATTTGCCTGTCCTCGTTTCGTTGTGTGGTAGGCATCAGTGATGCCCTTATATGTGTACAACATTGGCAGAAGTTGTGCTTGACGGCTTTGTAAATCCCAGCATTGTACTGTTTGTCCCTCTCCATTATAAAAGTCTGTCTGGGGTCAAATCTACGACCCGTCTTAACGCCGAGCTATGCGGGGTCTCGCAAGGATATGCTGCTTTCGTTGATTATGACCGAAAGGGCTCGGGACATTTATTTTAACTATAGTATATCATATAGAGCGATCGGCTTGAGCAATGGTCTGTTCTCGCTCGGCTGACAAATTATATATGACTGATATTGTAAAGTTATATTACATCTGTGAGTAAGCATAATCTAATATCACAACACTAAGTGTTGAGTTTCTATATGTGGTATATCGATGGCGTCTATTCAGACGTCGGACGTCACATCATCACCGACGCGGGGTTGCGGGGATATTGCTATCTTCGCCAGTGACAGAATGTAAGAGAACTAGTCCGAACTGGCTGGTGCGAAATTTGACTTTTCGCGCAGGGTGCGTCCATATTTCATGAAAACGAATGGGATCGGAAATGCAAGGCAAGCGATGCCTCCCATTAAACTAGCAGCAGGTCCCACGCCCAGATTGTGGAACATTGGCTTCGCCGCCAATGGCAACCCCGCGGCCACAAAGGATCTCAGCATGGTGTTTGCTGAAATTGCACTGGCGGCATACGGCCCGTACGTGTCGATCAAATAGTTAATACATTGCTGGAAGATGATATTATGTCCGGCGCCGACGAATACTGCATAGATGTCAGTCTGTCTTTTGACATCGTGGGAGAATCTTATGGCATACCTCCTCCAACCGTGGGCAGTACCCACGAAAACTTTGGTGCTGCGGTCCATCCAAGCCAGAATAGTCCCGTGGGCAGAAATATCACCCCGAGCACCAGGGGAGGAAGTCGTGCTTCAGGAACAGCCTTTCCACCGTTATCCATAACCGCTTTGGCATACCGTGTTCGATACGCAAAGGTGATTCCGACAGCACAAGCTGTGCCGACAAGGATCCCGAGGAATGGCAAGGAAGCAATCACTGGACTGTATCCACGTACTTCTTCAAATACAATTGGGTATACCTGGAGACATAGATAGATTAAACCATACGAGAAAGATGCGTACGCTGCAACACAGGCCATGATGCTCTCGGTTGTCAACATGCTGGGGAAAGTCAGAGATTGTTCACGACAAGAGCGACGCGCGAAGACACACCGTATCGGACGAAGGAAATGTTTCGTAACTGCATTTTCGAGGCTGATGCTCTCATGCTCGTGAGGATGCCAGTATCGTTCTTCTCCTGTCGTCCTGCGCATATTCTGTGCCCTGTTTCTCAACAAGACAGGAGAATATGTTTCTGACAGAGTCACGGTAGCAAGGGCAAATAAGGCAAAACAACAGATGGCTTCGATATACATGGTCCCTAAATTCATCAGCTTGGACAATTAAGATTAGTTGTGCCAATTCTTACAACGCCACCCAAGCTTCGGATTTGAAACCACTGCAGAGCCTATGAGAGGTCCAACAGATGGCCCTCCTGTGATGCACAGCATCATGAACGCCACTGCGATTCCTCGCTCTTTCGGTGCGTAAATGTCGCTTAACGCTGCATTGGCATTGCTAATTGGTGCAGAGCCAAAGATCCCACCAATGAACCTGGTGATGAAGATGCTGGCGGCGTTCTGGCTTACTGCCGTTCCGATACTGAACAAGCCTAAGCAAAGGAGAGCTGGAAGCATCCCCCATTTGCGGCCATAAACCTCGCTTATTGGGCCCCATAACGTTGGACCGACCGCCCAGCCTGCAATAGTGAGCGATTGAAACTGAATTTGAGTGGCGTATAGGCAAACCAAGGATATACATCGAAGTCGCGAGCACCGCAACCTCGGAGCTAATGTTGGTATACTCCGCTACATCTGACTGTCCCGGGGACAAGATAGATGAGCCCAATGCCGCAACAAAGGTGAGCATGCTCAGCTGGCAGGTGATATAGACCTTGTGCCAGTTGCCAAAGTTGCGTGGGTCGTCAGGATCATCCTTTCCGAATGTCACTGTGAAATCAGGATCCGACAGGGGCGTTTCTCGGTGGTTGATTCGGGTGTGCATATCATTTTGCTGCCCTGGCTTACTTTTTGACTGTGGTAGTTGCTTCTCAACCTGATTCAGATCGTTGGTGCGTGCCATGATAAGCTATTGAACCGAGCATAGAACGATGTATATGTTGTGGCAGAATGGAAAGAACAAACGAAGATGACTGCCCAAAGACAGGGAGCTTCAGCTGAGTGTAATTGCATTGTGAAGATCCGCGACAAAACGCAAGGGCATTTATTATAAATGAAGATCTCAGCATACTGGAGAGAGGTGACGGAAGCAACACTCATCCATGCAGCGGTTGTGTTCCCTCCGGAGTCGTAATGGCATTCCAGCTGGCTGATCAGCCAATGACAGCGCTGCTTCGGGGATAATCAGATGGCCAGAACGGGATTAGTGGCGGCCGCCGGTCCCATCAGGCAGCTGGTTCATCACGTGATGTATTCCCTGGCATGGCAAGTTGTCGATCCATCTATAAGACACCTTCATCATCCACGCCGCGATCGGCCACAATGGTCTAGCGGCGGCCGACAGTCCCAGTGAGTGAATTGATTGGACCCCTTGCTAATATTTGCTCTCTTGCGTCCTTCTCATCACCTTATGTCCGATACTAACAGATGAATGATAGACCGACCGGCACCAATAGATACACGCTCCCTTGTTTCGACCGGCCGATCGAGAAACCTAAAGTGAGAAGAACAGGAAGGATGAAGGTACCGGTGATAGAGCGGGCGTCGCAAGTGTGCTCGACCTGCAAATCAAGGAAGAAGGGATGCGACAAGAAACTTCCAACCTGCGGTTACTGTGCCAAACGGAACCTGCCATGTCGATACCAAGGATCCCCTGTCGCTGAAGAGCCCGTTGCGGATGCAATTACTCAGATAGAAACAAATGCGATATTGTTACAGATGGTTTCCCTGTTTGGCCTACCGTCGGAAAACATGCCAACGGCACCCAGAAGGACATGGTGCCATGTATGCCGCATCATTCAATTGGCAGACCTCTCACTGCAGGAAATCAGTCGCCGGTATTTCAGCAACTTTCATAACTGGCTTCCAGTAGTATCGTACGAATTGTTTCAAGAGCGCTTGGCTCGCTCCAATAGCCCGTCTCACTCACCACCGGTGGACTTCTCTGTCCTTGTGCTGGGTATGTGCCTGGTGACGCTGCAGCCGTCGAAACTCAATACACACATAACACCACATAGCCTATATGCCACTATGAAGATGCTATTTGCGGAAGCCCAAGCCATAGTGTGTGTATCGACATATCTTATTCAGGCTGGACTGCTTATCGCTGCGTACGAGTATGCCAACGGACGGCCTGAGGCAGCGCACATTACGATGGGGAGTTTAGCCAGAAGTGCCTTTGCGATTGGACTAGCAGATTCCAGCTCCTGGCAGACCAATGAAGCTAGTATTGACTCATCTGAAAGACTGGAGCGTCTGAATTTGTGGTGGGGTGTAATCATTCTCGAGAGGTAGGTCAACTACAAGTAGGTCTAGGAAACACAGGCTCACCCAGCCTAGGCTTATTTTATGCGAAATCAAAGACAAGACGCAACGACCTACGACAGATTGTCCGTCTTTCGAGTTCCCTCTACCAAGTGACCTCCAGCCTGTCCAAACCAATCTTCATGCAATCGGAAGCTGCCGACATGAGTGTCTGCCTTCGAACCAGGAGAGGAAACGCTCCGTTTTTGGCCATCAGGCACGAGCTGTGCTCCTTCTCGACCGGGTGTTGGCTGTACGAAGGCACCCCCAAACCGATAGTGGTAGGCTGGTAGAGATCCATCAACTCGACGAGCAGCTCCAAGGCTTTCTTTCAGAACGAATGAATAAAGGTACCGCAGAAATCGGCCATGATTGCAATCCTATAGCATCTGCAGTGAGGTATGCCAGCCGTAATACCCATGCCTTGTGACCTGAACCCCATGAGTATTAGTCTAAATAACCACGCCACTCGGCTGCAGCTAACTGAATCGGCTAGAGCCCTCTGCTTACTACACCAGGAAATCCTAAGCTACCCTTCCAACACCGTCGACTTTCAAGGGCTGCAACACTCACAGGCGGCCCTAGAGATGGTTTCTAATGTAGTGGTGGATGTCGCGCGCCACCACAAGGCGCAAATTGCCTGCCAAAATTCCCACGCCGATTTACTGCCCCTGAGTTGCTCGTACACCCTGCACATGGCAATGAGACATATTCAGGATTGCACGAAGCTAGTCTGCTCGCACAGGCGCTCTAGCGACCTGAATTGTCTAGCGCAGCTGGATCAAGAATTTTCCGACAGATGGAAAGCCTGATCCCCGCTTCCTGTAGGCAGCATGAGCGATTTTCGTGATAGGAAAGCGGCTACGGAGTTGGCCCACCGCCAAGCGAATGGCCGCAAAACCCGTCCGCAACAGCCCAATGAAGGTGCATCGCCGTTATGTCTTAAATTGCGATGGAGACGGATTAGATTGCTCAAATCAGAATGGAGGCCCGACGGCCATCAACCGCCGAACATCCGGCTGCTCGACCGAATTCGGAGAATTGGTCGGAGCTAGGCGGAACTAGCCGTCCAAGCTCACGATAGCTCGCTTGTACTGTGTAGAAGTCAGACCCTTTGGATCCAGCGTTCGTTGTGAAAGGCTCCACGCTGCCTTTGCTTTGACCAAATTTGGGGCTGAGTCACTTCGTTGATGATGACTGGCTATACCAGTGCATAGTGTGAGCACCATGCTCACACTATTGCCTTAGCCTCGCCGTTGAAGCTGACATGAGAACAGGCAGAAAAGAATTGCGGCCTTGCCTCTTGGGGGCCGATTTAATCTCCCTGGACTGCGGCATATCCGGCTTGGACTTGTGCTTCTTTGCAAGTTACGTTATAACGTGTCTGTGAACAGGAAAGCAGACGCCCGGTCAGTCAAGATGAGAGGTGCGCTACTAATTTCTCTTGCGGCGGGCATTCCGTTTGCCCATGGCCTGTCTCTCCATAAACGCGATGAGCCTGCCGTCGTTCGAATGCCCATTGAGCGCAGGAGCGACCAGTCCTTGCAGAAAAGAGATTCTACTGTCGCCGTGACTTTGCAGAACTGGGTATGTTAGCTATAAGGCCGTGAAGGAGAAATCATGCTGACAATCGCTAGGATGCGACTTACTACGCAGTGAACCTGACGTTAGGAACACCCGCGCAAAAGGTGTCATTGGCTCTGGACACTGGCAGTAGCGACCTCTGGGTGAACACCGGCAACTCGACCTACTGCTCTATCGACAATCTATGCACCCCTTATGGCTTGTACAATGCCAGCGAATCGACCACCGTGAAAACCGTCGGCACACACCTCAACGATACATATGCGGACGGCACAAATCTCTACGGACCTTATGTGACTGATAAGCTCACGATCGGCAACACGACAATCGATGACATGCAGTTTGGGATCGCCGAATCTACGACTAGTAAACGTGGGTGAGCCGTTTTCTCCATGATGATCGTCGCTGACTCGTACTATAGGCGGGATCGCCGGTGTCGGTTACAAAATTTCGACCTACCAGGCCGAGCACGACGACAAGGTCTATGCCAACCTCCCTCAGGCCCTCGTCGACAGCGGTGCCATCAAGTCTGCTGCATACAGCATCTGGCTAGATAGTTTGGAGGCGTCGACCGGTTCGCTCCTTTTTGGAGGTGTCAATACAGCGAAATACAAGGGCGATCTCCAGACTCTTCCGATTATTCCTGTCTATGGCAAATACTACTCCCTCGCCATCGCCCTTACGGAGCTCAGCGTTGCGACCGACTCCAAATCCAGTAGCTTTACCGACAGTCTTCCCCTCTCCGTGTCCCTCGATACTGGCACCACCTTGACGGCGCTGCCCAGCGATCTCGTCAACAAGGTCTATGATGCGCTCAACGCAACCTACGACAAGACATACGATATGGCCTACATCGATTGCGACACCCGAGAGTCCGACTACAACGTGACCTATAGTTTCTCCGGTGCAACGGTCACGGTCAGTATGAGCGAGCTGATTATCCCCGCAACAGAGCCGGGGTGGCCCGACAACACCTGTGTGTTGGGCCTCGTGCCGAGCCAGCCCGGTGTGAACCTGCTCGGTGATACATTCCTGCGTAGTGCATACGTTGTATACGATCTCGAGAACAACGAGATCTCCCTCGCCAACACGAACTTCAACCCGGGTGACGATGATATCCTTGAGATCGGAACGGGAACGTCGGCTGTGCCGGGAGCGACACCGGTTCCCTCTGCCGTCTCTTCCGCTACTGGAAATGGATTGGTCTCGACTGGCACTGCAGTGCCCACACTGTCGGGTGTCACCATCACTGCTACGGCCACAGCAACCGGGGCGACGGGTACTGCTTCGAGCGGCGGCTCATCGGCCGAAGCTACGAGCACTTCCTCGGAGGGTGCTGCAGCGCAGGCTACAAGCAACCCGATGAAGCTGCTTTCAGGACTTGCGGGCGTGGGATTGCTTCTTGCATTGTAGCCCCATGTTACCTACTAGTTTGAATATCACGGCGAGAAAGTAATGTAGTAATGTGATATATGATAATCATATTTACAATATCAATCTTTAATAGTATCTACACCAAATCCACCACCAATATGCCCACCTCCAACCTTCCCAACCCCTCGCTAACCAACTCCCCATCCTTGACATCCCATCCCTCCCCACCCCAAAGCACCTTCTCCACCCCAGCCACCCTCACACCCTCCAAACCCACCCTGACCTCCCCAGTGCCCCGATAATTCAAATTCACCACACTCATCAACGCCCTCCCCTCCTCTTCCACCACCCACCACGCAACATCCACCCTCCCTGCCCCCTTCACCACCCCCACCCTTCTAACCCCCTCCTCCAAAAACCCCACAAACACCTCCCCAGTAACCACAGGCGCTAACCCCCGCGTAACCTTCTCAATCCCATCACTACTCGGATAATCCCACATAACAATGCCCATCGCTCCATGATTGACACTCAACATAACCATAACCACCTCCTCCGCCGCAGTAGGATACCTCGTCCAAAACGTCTCCTCCCCAAACGCCTGCGGCGCGCCCCAATGCACCTTTTCCCAACCAACAACCGCATCAAACTCATAGAACTGATTCAACCTATCACTTATATCCTCGAACTCACCCCTGCAATCATCACACCCACAACACCCATACGTAGCATTACACGGCGTGTCATACACAGTCGACCAGGAAGTATTCGTCGCGACGGGATACACATCCGACAGGATGATATCTGCCCCGGCGGCATACTCCTCATAATAGAAGTCCTTACAGTTCAGAGCTAGAGAAACAGGATGGTACGGGTCCATGGAGCGGATGAGGTCGTACGCCAGACGGGTTGAGTTCAGGGGGTTGCCTTTTCCGTCTGGTTCGTCGGCTGTGTAGTATAGGAGGAGGGAGGGGTGGGTGTGGATGTGTGTGACTTGGTCGGTGAGTTTGGTGAGGTTGGTAGGGTCGAAGAGGACGTCGTATTGGAGGTGGAGGTTTTGTTTGTCGGAGGAGGTGAGGTAGGGGTCGAAGGTGGTCCAGGGGAAGGGCGTGTCGCTGAGGGTGCCTGTGGGCACGATGTGGATTACGTTGTAGCCTTGGGAGGCGAAGGTTTCTAGGGTGGTGGTGTTGTTGTCCCAGTAGAGGGACCATTGGGCTGGTTTGGGGTTAGATTGGGTGTAAGGAGAGGTGTAGGGGATGGGGGAGGTACCGTAGTAGGTGTAGGGGAAGATTGGGGTCCAGGTTATGGATTGGTCCTGGATGTAGGAGAGCATGCCCGTGCGATGGTCGATGCGGGTGGCGCTGCCGCCGTCGGTGCGTTGGGGGAGGTAGAATAGTTCGGAGGAGGTGGTGAAAGTGGTGTTGGAGACGCTGTTGATGAGGGTAGAGGTGGTGGTGATGGTGTAGGGGGATAGTTTTGGGGTGAGGCCGTCAAAGAAGAGGGGAATTTCGGCTTTGGTGGTGTCGAGTGGGAGGGTATAGTTGGTGATAGAGGCAATTGGGGTCTCGTTGCTGAGGATGTGGATGTCTAGATGGAGGTACTGGTCTGTGTAGTTTGTCTGGGTCTGAACCGGTAGAGGATCGCCGACAAGGTGAGAGACGGTCGTGTCGACGAGAAGACTGCCCGATGCATCTGTCTCGAGGTAGATGCTCATTCGTGGCCGGACTTTAAGGTCGAGCAGGGGAGTGGAGGAGTACGAGGGCTGCTCGAACCACCCACCAGGGTTGAATGAAGCATTGCTATCACAGTTAGTCGTGTTATATTGAATGTTAGCTATGACATACCTCGCTCGATAGGCCTTGCCGCACCAGATGTCCACGCCTGGGGGGTTGTTGAAGGCATGAGTCAATGGCAGACTGGCCAGCCTAGCTGCCACAGAAAACAAGGTTGTCCACATTGTGTCGGTGCATCATGCAGGAACATTCTGGGAGTTGTTGCTTCTTATCAATTGGCATATTGCAGGCCTCCACTCGGACATCAGCCGATGTAACAGTGGCGCTGCCATGGTTTAGTGCCCGGCTGGGCCGACCAGGATATTATGAGCCTGATTAGCACTTATCTCCGCGTATCTTTGCCGTAATTGATATCTCCCCGCACGCCGGCCGTTTAATCTACATGATCGGCGTGTTCCAATGACAGTCGGCCACTTGCTGGATTTGCTTCAACGTGCAGGCAGAATGTCACTGTGCCATTTTCCGGTGGGGAGATATGAAGTTGGCATGACTACTTCTGCACCGCTTCCCCGCTTCATCGGCAGGGTGTAGACCTTACGCCGTACAGGGGAGTGTTTGCATCATGAAGCTCATCAACCAGATAGCTCTCGCATGGCATTTAGCTGTCACTGCAGAAGCAGTAACGCAGGTTAGTGCTTCTCATTTCAATTGAACTTAGACTGACGGTACAGTCAAAATTCGTCTCCATCGATTCATACTTCAACAACAAGGCATTCGGCGTATATCCCGGTCAGACGTCCTTTGATGCACTGAATCAGTCCTATCCAGACCCTAGCATCATTGGCATCAATGGAACCTACACATCCGCGCACACTGGCGTGGTCTACGATTTCCCGGGCTATCGCGGGCCCGTCCTCCCTGACAATGTCGTCTGTGAAGGCCAGACAATTATCGTGCCTCGCGAACAGTATTTCTCCGCGTCCATGCTGGTGACGTCCGACGTCCAATTGTCCACCGTCTCCGGGAATGTGACATACACCTATTCAGACAACTCGACACTTGTATCAGAACTGCGCAGTCTACCTTGGTGGGCATTCCTGACAATTAACCGTGGCGAAATCATCTTCCCCTACCGGTATACTCACAACGACACCAATTTCAACACCTCCCACATCTTCGAATACACTGCAGCACTGGATCCCAACAAGACTTTACATTCCATCACACTGCCAGTCACGACCAACACAACCACAGGCAGACTGCACATCTTCTCCATATCCCTATGGGAGTCCACGGCCCCATCAGCTCAAGTGCAATTCGTGCGCCCGACCCAAAAGTGGACAGAAAGCGGCAACCAAATAGTCGAAGTGGCCATCAACAACCCAGGCACCAGCTGCATTGCAGGGCCAGGCGTTAACGTATCATTATCCATGCCTGGAATCCAAACACTAGAGCCCGGAAACATCAAGCGACTCTGCCCCGGCGACCAAAAACGTGTCAACATCGGCATCAGCGGCACAGCCAACGGAACAGCAACTGTCGTCCTGAACTACACCCACTCCATCCAGCATCAAACCTACCCCCACACCCTCTCCCTCGGCCTAACAGAATGGACGTCCGAGCTATCCAGCCTCTCGCAACACGAAAGCCCCGAATGGTTCGATGACGCCAAATTCGGTATCATGATCCACTGGGGCCCCTACTCCGTCCCCGGCTGGGGCAACTCGACACCCTATGAAAGCTACGCCGAGTGGTTCTGGTACTATCCTCCCCACCCTGTCTCAACTTCCTCCCCAGAACGCATCTAACTTAGCCAACCATCAGGTGGTACACCACGCACCGCGCCGCCGACAAATCCGACACCTACGACTACCGGCTCCGCACCTTCGGCCCTGACTGGAACTACGACGACTCGTTCCCCTCCTTCACAGCCTCCAACTTCTCCCCCAAAGCCTGGGTCGACCTAATCGCGGCCTCCGGCGCCAAATACTTCGTACTAACAACCAAACACCACGACGGCTTCGCCCTCTTCGACACACAAAATACCACGAACCGCTCCTCCCTCCACTACGGCCCCCACCGAGACCTCGTCTCGGAACTCTTCACCGCATCCTCCCTCCACCACCCATCCCTAAAACGCGGCACCTACTTCTCCCTCCCGGAATGGTTCAACCCAGACTTCGGGCCCTACGGATTCGCCGAACTACCCGGCAACACCTCAACAAGCTGGCCGGGCATCATCGCACGCAACCCCTACACGGGGCTCAACGAGCCCTACACCGGCCGCATCCCCGTCAGCGACTTCATCACCGACGTAATGGTGCCCCAAATGACCATCCTCGCACACAACTACAGCACCGACATCATGTGGTGTGACTGCGGAGCCGCGAACGGGACCGCGTCATTCGCCAGCGAATGGTTCAATTCCGCGCGCGCAGATAACCGGCAAGTGACGATTAATTCGCGATGCGGGGTGGCGGAGGTCTCGGACTTCGATACGCCCGAGTATGCGACGTTTAGTTCGGCGCAGTTGCGCAAGTGGGAGAGTAATATGGGGATGGATCCGTATAGTTATGGGTTTAATCGGGCGACCGGGTGGCAGGGGTATATGAATGCGAGTACGGTGGTGAGGGATTTGGTGGATATGGTGAGTAAGAATGGGAATTTTTTGTTGGATGTTGGGCCGCGCGCGGATGGGAGTATTGTTGAGAGAGAGGAGAGGGAGTTGAGGAGGGCTGGGGAGTGGATTCGAGGGCATGGGGAGGCGGTGTTTGGGACGAGGGTTTGGTGGGTGAGAAGTGAGGGGGTGGGTGTGAGAGTTGGGAGTGGTGATGCGGAGGAGGTGGAGGTGAGGTTTACGCAGACGAATGAGGCGTTTTATTTGTTGTTTCTTGGGGAGCCTGGGAAGAAGGTGTTTGTGGATGCGCCGGTGCCGTTGTTGGAGGGGGATAGGGTTGTGGTGGTGCGTGGTGATGGGGCTGGGGAGAGGGAGGTTGAGTGGGAGGGGAGTGTGGCGGAGGGGTTTACGTTCACGGTGCCTGAGGGAGCGTGGGATGGAGAGGAGTTTTGCTGGGTGTTGAAGGTTGTGTATGTTGCTTAGTTGTGCCCATGATGGGTAAAGCTATGTAGTACATGTGGATGTGGAATGAGGGAGTCAGCATGCATGGAAGGTTCAAATAGCCTCGCCTCATATATCGCCCATGGAACGGTCAAGCCAAACTAATATTACCAAACCTCCCGTCCCTCCTTTGAACCGAGTATCGCATGTCCATAATCCGAAACGTATCCTTCATCGCTGTCCTGGCTCGTCGCACACTCCCTAGGTTCCGTGTCCGTTCTATCCGCTCTAGCCGATCCATAACAAACCGGCGATGATCCTGATTATCCAGTGCGGTCTGTCCGAGAACGTATAACGGCCACAGTAAGGTCGCAGAATCAGGAAGGCTCGAGATGAGATCTATCATTTTGCTCACTAGCGTTCCTTTATCCGTTCTTGGGATGAATTGCCTGCGATAGGTAGTGGAGCTCACCCGCTCGATCAGGTACAGGAATGCTGCTAGACGCTTCGTTTCGGCGATCACAGCTATATCTTCTCTGTGTTGGAGGTGGGCCGGGAGAGTCTGGGTGAGGTTGATCAGGTCGCAACTAAGGCGATGTGCTCTTAATATGTAGGTATCGGCTGGTCCGGCGTTTCTCATAATCTGTGACATTTTAGAGGTGCGTCGAGAGGCTGAGTTAAGAATTGAGGAGGTATACATTTACCGTATTGCCGTCAGAGGGTAAATCAGAAATATCATCGATGATGCCCATGAGTCGTCGTGAGCAACCCATTATTGTATCGATCTAAAATTAAAGTAAGACCGGGAAGGGAAGAAGTCAATGGGATGCAAACCTCGTCAAGATTGTCGTATTCTGACCAACCATATCGCCCATTTCCATTGATCATTCCTGGCGTTGCCGTCCGACGCATGATATCGTGGGCGACGAAATACATTTGGAAAAACTTGCGCAATCCCTGGCTTGACGAGGCAGTCAAAGGCAAGCAGTTTAGAAGGTCCAGACCTGCTTCGAGGTGTTGCACCCAGGATGAATCGCACTTATCCGAAATCTATACGTGGCCATGTCAGCATTCATCAAAGCTGATGTTCACCATACCACGTACGTCGTAGAAGCAGAGCATCAGAATAGTGCCTATTATGCCATCATCTATATTTCGAAGCTCGACTGCCTGCTGCAATCCCTGTATCGCTCGATTCTTGTATAATACCGCCTCATTGGCATATCGTGCATCACCAAGCAAGCGAAGCTGATTAGCTGCCACAGACACCATAGCATTCAGGAGAGCGGGATGGCAGAAAGCAAGTGGTGTCAGCAAGTTGATGTATGGGTTGTCATTGCTGCTGAGAGAACAATCCGGCCCAATGCTCTGGATAAAGTACTGGAGAAGATAACTTTCAGAGTGAGAGTATTCCGACAGCGGATGGCTTAGAATGGAGCGTAGTTGGAGCGCATCATCTGGTTCTCCAGATACATCCTTCATGGCTATGTCTTCGTCGGAATCATAGTCTACCTCACCCGTGTCCTCGAGATAATTCTTCGTGGTGAGATTGAGGAATACCCACCGCCCACTGTACGCATCTAGCGATATCATCTTTCGATGGGTAGGCTTAAAATTGCTTAGGCTGAGGATACCTCTTTGCTGTTTTGAACATGTTCCTATACACATTCATCAGCCATATCCATGGTAATACCAACAATGGTGATCTGGCGAAACCCACCTCTACGGCCTAGACTAACTCCTTGTTCCACGGGTTCCTCCACGAAGGAAAACTCCTCACACGTCAGATCCAGTGTCCTACATCGAGTGCAGCGAGGCACATCCCCAATGCAGCGCAGGCTAACGGCTTCATCCGGCGTCAATATGCCCGAATCGATAATTCTTCATGTCCAGATCCGTACCTTTACACTGAAAGCAGCCAGAGCGACGATGAGTTTCAGCCGACATGTTCGGAGCAGATGCCATGCATGTATGTGGTAGGTACAACGAAATGAGGGGTGGTTACAGGTGGAAGTGAGTCCCGGCCGTCCTGGCTTGCGTCTGTTCGGGGGAATTGGACGGAAGGAGGCAGCCCGCCGGAGGAGCGGGGAACGAGCCGGCGCTTATATTAACAGCACCAAGCTATGACTAGCTGCAGCCCTTAGAGCGACGCGGCCACAGCACATCCCTGTCACACATTCTACCTATCCGGAATGTTACGGAAGTGAGAATCCGGCCCTACAGATGGAACATCGAGTAGATTGCGTGGCAGTTTGACCCATTAGGTTTCCAGATTACGAAGCCAAAAATTGAGACATGGAAATTCCTACTTTCTACTGGCCCCTCTTAAGGAAGCGTGGATAGCCAAACGTCATGATAGGCCAATATAGACCAAGTCCTATCATGTAGTATATCTAAAATTCGCTTGCTGAAAGTCTGTTCGATCGGCAAAAGCTTCTGTTAAATCTTCGTTTGTAATTTGTGAATTCGGGTCAATGTTGGCAAGTCGCCGGTTGTATTTCGAGACCAACACCCAGTAAAGCCCCATCAGCCCGACACATACACAGTAGCATATCAACATAGCGATGAATCCGCCTGTGTAGGCGGGCGCTTGACTAGCACGGAAGGTTTGGGGTCCGATGAGATTTCCTTCCAATTACATTAGTAAGAGGAACAGATGCAAAGATCACGGAACCTAGTGAGTAGAGGGTATGTAACATAGACTCACCAAGTGCATATCCAATATATAGAATAGAGTACTGCACAGTCTTTTTCGTGTGTCCAGCTGTATTAGCTTGCGCCATGGAGATTCCTTGCTTGTCAGCTTGCTGAATAGGCAATAATTCGCATGACACGTAGCACTTACCGACTACGTACGGTCCAAAATAAGTGTAAAGCTATAGCTCTGTGAGCATAAATACTAATTAACGGCCGGAAGACTTACGAGGTAAATTCCAACTATCTGCCCTGCTACATTTGTTCGTGGGAGAGAGTACACCAAGGCCGAGCCGACAATGGGCAAACAGCATGCCATCATAGTAACGAGGCACCTTCGATTTGACCAGCGTGCAGCTAGCCAGGAGAAGAAAAATGCAGATACAGTGGACATTACTCCAGTCGGCATGTTCAGAAGGGAGGTCTTAACCGCAGTGAAGCCAAGATTGTTGATGAGGATACCACTAAATGTAGTCAGGCCTGTATCGTAAGCGATAGTAGAGCTACAAACGAGAAGACAGTTTACCTCCATTAGGAATATTAATAGCAATGTTGAAGGAAAACAGGATCCACGTTTTTACATCCAAAACCGCTTCAAGAGCCTGTTCCCTTTTCCATTCTTTATTTATGATGCCAGTTTGATTTTCCGCTAGACGCTGGGTTGCATAGAATCGTTCCCTATCGGTGAAGAAGAAGGCAGTCATTGGGGATTCCGGTAGGATCACGAACGCTGTTATGGACCACACTGCGGAAAGAGAGCCTGAGCAATTAGCAAACTGCATTATTGCGATATATGGTTTACATACCGACAATCAGATACAAATATTGCCAGATAGCAAGAGGTGCAGAATCGGGAATATGCCCTACGGCCCAAGATAAGAAGCCGTTGATCACGGAGCTAAAAGCCGCGAACACGATTGCATTTCGTGGAGGTTGTTCCGTCTTTTTATAGAATCCGGCGACTATGAGGCTGATTGTAGGGACAATAATTGCTTCAAGGTAGCCTAGTGAAGGATATCAATTCGATGCCATTCTTACCGGAGTTGCTAGTGGGTGTATCTTAACGGGCCAAAACAGAACATACCCATGAAAAACCTCAGCGCCATCAGTCCATTCCAGTTTCTCGATGCGGGTATCAGCAGAGCTAAGCACGACCAGCCTAGGGAGCACGAAGAGAGATACTTTGCGGATGGCAGTCGCTGTACGAGGAAGGAGGAAGGGCACATCCCGATGATAGCCTTATTCGGTGTCAGCTTTGAACCATGGACAATATTTACAAACACGTACACCTATAGATAGGATTGATCCAGCCCAGGAGTATTGTTGACTAACGAGGTGAAGATCTGGATACATGTCAGGACGATTTGCGATACGGATGACCATCAATACCCTTTTCCAATCCGTAGATTGCTGCGGTGCTGAGAGCAACCTTATCCACTGCCCCGAGAGTAGCGGTGAGCAGAAGCTAGCATTTATCAGTAAATTCTGATGCTTATTGTCCGGTGAGCAGCCTACCATGGGAACCAGGATGCAGTCGATTTTGCGCAACAATTTCCTTTCCATTTCCAACGTCATGGGAGGATGAGTTGTGCTATGAGCAAGATAGGCAGCAGCTCCATCCACTTGCTTTTCCATCTCCATCTTTCCTGATGATAATGCCGACATCTCTACTGGCGTGTTCGTCTCTCCCATGGCCATCTATTAGGGTCGGTGAATCACGGGATGGGCTCACGTGCCATCCTAACGACTCGATGTCCCCGATTTGTGCGCGGTGGAGACCATTATGGGTGAGAGATATATATTCGACTATCATTCCCCGCTATGCTGGTTGTATCACCCTCGTCCGTGATTGTCTGCGAAGACCACTGCACCGGGCGCTGGAAGGCAACTCTCGGGTAGGAAGCGCTTGCAGGGGTCTAATCAGTGTCACACTAATGATCTGACACATTCATTGGTGCCCCCAACGCGGCCATGTCCGATGCATAAGCCAGTCAAGTTGAAGCACTGGCAATCACATCATCTTGATGAGGGGGTGTTAATTTCCAATGCCCGACAGTGGAGCTGCTGGGCGGCAGGTTATCAGATTATTGATGGAAAATCATCGGTCGACCAGGGATGCTGCCTTAGAGGGCACCGGCGCCTGAGGCCCTGGTTCCTTCCCCTCTCTCTAAGCCCAATACGGTACCGATATTGCAGCTGGAAGTGACAATCTCCTCCTGCCATGGACTCGCGTCGAGTCATTCACCCACAAACAGCTGACAATGACGGGGTTTGGGCCGAGAATCATGGGATGTCGGCGGATGGATCCGTTGAAAACTCGTTTGGACCTTCCTCGCTCCCAGGATGGCCTGTCCAGGAAGTGCAGCGGTGTTCTGTCCGATCTGTGAAGCCAGGCTATAAAAGACAGTAGCCTACAGTGCCGGAAAAGAATTTACGTAGCAGATTGACCACATTTTCCACTATGAATACAAGCGTGGGAAAGGTGAAAATTGCGATCGGTGCGAGTTCCTCGTTTCCATAGCCCCACGAAAGGTTTTGCTAATATGGCTTGGCTTCTCCTTAGACCGAGGAGGCACTTTTACTGATGTCTGGGCCGGCCTGCCTGGACGGTCGGACGTTGTCTTCAAGCTCCTTTCGGTTGATCCCGCCAATTATGATGATGCACCCACAGAAGGTATTGCGTTTTGGTACGATACCATTAGATAGAAGCTAACCATGTCAGGTATACGTCGCGTACTATCTACATACTACGGCAAGGAGATCCCTCGCAGCCATCCACTCCCAAAGACAGATCTAGAGTTCATTCGTATGGGAACAACAGTTGCAACAAATGCCCTGCTGGAGCGGAAAGGCACACGGCATGCATTTCTTGTTACCAAGGGATTCCGCGACTTACTCAACATCGGATATCAGTCGCGACCTCGACTCTTCGACCTCGACATTGTCAAGCCGGCTGTTTTGTACGACGAGGTTCATGAAATTGATGCTAGAGTAACGATTGAAGGATTCGATGAAGACGTCGATGGGCTCTTTAATGCCACCGAAGAAATACCTGGTGTCCTGGTCCGCGGCACAAGCGGTGATATGGTGCGTATTTTGAAGCCAATAGACGAAGAACAAGTCCGTCATGTACTCAGGGAGCTCCGTGGTAAGGGCTTCGACACACTTGCCGTCTGCTTCACCCACTCCCATATATTTCCAGACCACGAGGTCAGAGTTCATCAGTTAGCCATAGAGGAGGGCTTTAACCATGTATCATTATCCTCTGTCGTGGCAGCCAACATGATAAAGATGGTACCACGAGGCAGTTCAGCATCGGCAGATGCATATGTCACCCCTGAAATAAGAAGGTATTTGGCCGGGTTCATGAGGGGTTTCGAGGGTGGAAATCTTGACGGTGTGAGGTGCGAGTTCATGCAGTCCGACGGAGGACTCGTTAGCCACCACCAATTCAGCGGGATAAGAGGCCTCTTGAGCGGTCCTGCAGGTAAGAACTACCCTTATCTCTATTCTTCTATGATGCTAATTCTATAGGGGGTGTTGTTGGATACGCTCAGACCACTTACGATGAGATCTCCAAAATTCCGGTGGTGGGTTTCGACATGGGCGGGACGTCAACGGATGTGTCACGATACGGAGGGCAATTTGAGCATATATTTGAGACCACCACTGCTGGCGTGGCGATACAGGGTCCTCAACTAGATATAAACACAGTCGCCGCGGGCGGCGGCTCGATGTTGGCCTGGAAAAAGCGTCTTTTCGCAGTTGGCCCGGAGAGTGCATCGTCACACCCTGGACCTGCATGCTATCGAAAACGCGGGCCTCTTACAGTGACTGATGCGAATCTCTTCCTCGGGAGGTTACTTCCGGATTATTTCCCGAAAATATTTGGCGAAAACGAAAATGAGGCTCTGGATTCGGACACAGTACAGCGAATGTTTGAAAATCTGACGGCGACGATTTACTCCGACACGGGAAATAAAATGAGCCCGGAAGAGGTAGCCTGGGGGTTTCTTGACGTTGCTAACGAATCAATGTGCCGGCCAATCCGGGCTTTGACTGAAGGAAAGGGATATGACATCGGTAAGTGCATGACTGGTAAATCTGTACATTGTCGTTGACTTTGTCCCAGCAAACCATTATTTGAGTGTTTTTGGGGGTGCTGGAGGGCAGCATGCTTGCGACGTCGCACGCAAACTCGGTATATCCACCGTCATCATCCACAAATATTCAAGCATCCTTTCCGCATACGGTATGTAGCAAAATCTCCCGGATGTGGACACGAGCTGACCCAGTAAAACAGGAATGGCGCTCGCGGACTTTGTGCAAGAAGCTCAAGAACCAGTTAATGAAGTTTATGGAGATGAATCCCGTACCAGGCTTCTCGGTCGGCTATCACTGCTGCGAGATAAGGTTCGCCGCCAGCTAAACGGCCAAGGTATCTCAGATGGCGACGTATCCTACCAGCAGTATCTCAACATGAGATATCAGGGAACGGAGACAGCGATAATGGTTCTGCAGCCAGCAGATGGCGATTTTAAGCAGGAATTCAAAAGAATGCATCTGCGGGAATTCGCCTTTTTGTCTCCTGACGAAAGGCCTATCATTGTGGATGACGTGCGCGTCCGAGGCGTTGGGTCTTGCGGCGGGCTTGAGAAATCAGATGGAAAGAGACTGGGGCAAAAGCTCAAGTACGCCTCTTTCAATGTTGCACGGCCGGAGTTTGTGGAGCGAACGGTACGAGGCCCGGCGTTTGTTGTCCGATCGTGCCAATGCTAATGGTCACAGACCAAAATCTACTTTCCAGGAACTGGAAAGATTTCCGCTCCCGTCTTTCTACTGCCTAAGCTAGAGCCGCTAACTCTCATCACCGGACCAGCTATTATTATCGACCAGACACAGACCTTGGTAATCACGCCCGGAGCAGAAGCCAAAGTGTTGAGTAACCACGTGGTTATCCATATCAACGACTCATCCAGCCAGATTATACGAAGTCCTGTCTCAATGCACAGAGTTCAGCTTTCGCTATTCGCACATCGCTTCATGAGTATTGCCGAGCAGATGGGTCGAGCTCTACAGAAGACGGCCGTGTCACTCAACATCAAGGAGCGGCTGGATTTCTCATGCGCACTATTTGGCCCAGATGGTATGTTTACAGATTGTGAATAACATAGTTTGGACTAATATGACATAGGAGGACTGGTTGCCAATGCACCTCATGTCCCAGTACATCTTGGTTCCATGAGCTACGCGGTCAAGTACCAGCACGAGCTCCACGAAGGAAAGCTTGCCCCCGGGGATGTACTGGTGTCCAATCATCCTGAGGCAGGTGGTACGCATCTGCCAGACATCACGGTGATAACTCCGGTTTTCGAGAAGACGGGGAAGCAGATCGCATTTTACGTAGCTTCCCGCGGCCACCACACTGATATTGGTGGCCTTGGGGGAACGTCCATGCCACCGAACTCCACAGAGCTGTGGCAGGAGGGTGCTGCGATCAGATCTTTTAAGCTCATTCATGCTGGAAAATTCGATGAATCCGGTATCACCGAAATCCTTCTTCGTCCGGGTCAATACCCGGGTTGCACGGGGAGCCGACATGTGTCGGACAACATCTCCGACCTCAAAGCGCAGGTTGCGGCAAACCACAAGGGCATGATCTTGGTGCAGGATTTTATCAAGGAATACACCCTACCAGTGGTGCAGATGTACATGAAAGGCATCCAATCGAACGCTGAATGGGCGGTGCGGGACTTTCTTCGCGCCGCTATTATTACGAAGGGCACCCACCTCGTTGCTGAAGACCAAATGGATAACGGTTCAGTGATCAAGCTCACAGTCATAATTTGCCGGGATGGATCTGCTGTGTTTGATTTTACTGGGACTGATTGTGAGCTGCTCAGTAATATCAACGCGCCCCCAGCAATCACCTACTCTGCCATTATATACAGCCTACGTGTTCTCATCGGCACTGACATCCCATTGAACCAGGGCTGCCTCACACCGATCGATGTCGTCCTACCAAAGGGCACATTCCTAAATCCATCCGCAGGCCCCGCTGTTTGCGCTGGGAATACCCAGACATCGCAGCGACTCGTGGATGTCATCCTCAAGGCATTTCGAGCCGGTGCCGCCTCTCACGGCTGCATGAACTGTATTGGCTTTTTTGGCGAGGGCGGCAAGGATGCCGAGGGTAAGAAGCTAAATGGATACGCTTACGCGTTCGGAGAGACAATCGGCGGTGGCTCTGGAGCAACATCCTCCCGGCCGGGGGCATCCGGTGTACATACGCATATGACCAACACGAGGATCACCGATCCGGAGAGCCTGGAAAAGCGCTACCCGGTCATCCTGCGAGAGTTTGCCATCCGCCCAAACTCGGGAGGAAAGGGCGTGAACAGGGGCGGAGACGGTGTGGTGCGAGACATTGAGTGCCGTGTTCCGCTAAGCTTCAGTGTCATCACTGAGCGCCGCACTGTTGCGCCCTATGGAATGAACGGAGGTGAACCGGGACAGTGTGGAGCAAATTACTGGGTTAGAAAGATGAATGGGGTAGAAGGGGAGGAGTGGCGCTGGATAAATATGGGAGCGAAGAACATGGTGAAAATGGAGGCAGGTGATCGCGCTGTCATTCATACCCCTGGAGGAGGGGGTTGGGGGTCGCCTGAGTTGAGTGGAGATTATGGTGCCAT